CGGAGAATCCCTTGGAGGAATCTAGTGTAACAATGGTTGATGTGTTGCAAGAGGAACACGAGTTGGAAGAGGAGTATAATGCAGTGCTCGGTGCGTCCGACGAAAAATGCTGCACATATGCGCAGGGTCCTATTAAACGACAGGCTCTTTACTCTTGCCTGACCTGTTGCCCAGAAACTCGCACAAATTTGAACAAATGTGCCGGGATATGTTTGGCTTGTTCTTATCGTTGTCACGAAAATCACGAGCTTATTGAGTTATATACTAAGCGTAATTTTCGTTGCGATTGTCCCACGGAACGCTTTTCAAGTCAGCATCGGTGTTTACTCAATACAGGATTGACCGAACTGCAAGCAAAGAATTCAGAAAATTTGTATAATCAAAACTTCCAGGGCTTGTACTGCAAATGTCATCGACCATACCCAGATCCAGACCGGACAACCGACGAAGTGATGCTGCAATGTACTGTATGCGAAGATTGGTTTCATTTGCATCATTTAGCCGTGTCAAAATCGGCAGCCAACCTGGTAGAGGCCGAAGCTTGTGGTGAAATGATCTGTGGTGACTGCATGCAGAAGCATCAATTCTTACAAGACTACACAGGACTGGCTCTAAAAGTTATTGATGACTCAGATGAATCGACGGCTAATATAACAGTAACTGAAGAAACTTCTGTAGGCGGGGATAATGACAACAAATTGCGTTCAGATCTCGATAAGAGCATATCGGAAATAATGAATATGAATGGGGACGGAAAGGCAACACCAGAAGAAACCGTACAATCAGATAGTGAACCACATGCATGCGATGAAGAAGCTTCTGATGATTCAGTTCCGAAAGCAAAACGACAAAAGATCGAAAACCATCAAGAAGCAGTAGAAGCAGTAAATGAAAATACAGAAGAGCCATGCCGACGTCCTAAAAGAAAGCAACTATACGAAGAAGGTAAGCTGATCAACAACATTTTTACCGATAACCCATGTAATGAGTTTTATAAAGTTATGATTTAATGGCATAATACATACGAAACAGGATCCAACTGTCGTTTCTGCTGCCGCAAATCAAGCAAAACCGTTTATTTTTTTCAGTATATTCGTGCTTGATCCATTCAAATAGATTGATTATTGTTTGTTAGAAATGTATTCTAGTACATAAAAAGTAGATCATAGTTTTTCTTGCCGTCGCCAAAATAACAAAAACCATGCTTGCGCGAATTTAACTTGTGAAAAAATGTCATACCTGACCAGATGCAAGATTTTATAATAACTAAACGCTCACTTCGCATTAAATTGAGTGAAAATGCTTGACGTAATGGAATAACATCGGCTATGCAGTCCAAAAAGTCGATGGCGTAGTTATAGTCACTACGCTTGAGCAGATTGTGTTTTAGGTCGCATCGGGGTAGGCGAAAGATTTGGTAATTGGACATGTTCTCGACTTCTAGGTCGTTCAGACCGCGAAACATCTGGTTTGGTATAACACGTCCATCAGTAAGTTTGTAAAGGGCGCCTCGCGGACAAATTGCACATTCCTCGGTAATGATAAATACTATCGCAGCGAGACGTTCCTCTTCTTTAAGTTTCACCTTTTCTGGCATATTCGCTGAGATTACTTGATAGTTATCGATTTCAAATGTAGGATCCTACAAAACAAACGTCTTTTCTAATGCACGTACATACATGCGTATATTATAAAGCAAACGTTTTCAATGCTTACCAACTCCACTGTTGTAACCAGAATCGGATCGCCAATAAAAGGTTCACGGCATAAAATAGTCGCTTGGAAAATTTTGGTGCTATGCACAAATGGCAACATCATCCACTGATACCCATCAACCGTGTAGAAAAACTTACGGTCTTTTAGGCAATCCTGCGTGTAGCCAAAAGCGATGTAGTAGTCGCTTGTTATAGCATTAATACGACCCCAAAAATGCATGCTAGATAAACGATTTTCATTTTGTAGAACAATAAGCGAATTTTCAATTATAACCTTCTGTTCGGGTGTAAGTTTTTGACCGCAATACATGAGGCATTCGAGTCCTTCATTGAAGTATTTAACATTCATTTTTATTCTCTATTGCCGCAATAAAATTACTTAAGAAATGTTGGTGGTTTTAATTCGTTTTAATTTCACCATGGTTTTAATTGACAAATTAAAACATGACAATTGATTTTTGGTTATTTTTATAGAGTGATTTTATAAGGAGTATACTACCCATGGCACAATAAAATTTATTTAATATAAGTAACTTGAGTGGTCTTCAATAACTACATTCTTGATTGCTTCTCTTTGTGTGAATTAATTTTTTTTTACTTTGGCTAACTATTCCGTAGATTTAGAACATCACATTACTTTTAATAGCATGAAATTCTCTATTAAAGTTTCTACTAATTATTATCCCAACAAACATTTTGGTTTGAGCTCAACTTGAGGTTAAGTTGAGAACTAAGGAATTTCACAAATCTCCAACGTTATTTCTCAACAGTACCTCAACTGGAGGACCATAGCGTTCTCAACAAAAATGGCATTTTTCTTTGAGCGATTTTTTGATGCAGTTTACTTCTATTTCTAGGTCATGGATCCCGAGTCTTGGCCCTAGATTTCATATGGCAACATCCGCCGTCTTGAATTTTAGGTTTTTTTGCGATTTGCAAGCTGATTTTGCATTTTTCATAACAAATGGTTGTATGCAAATTTGTAGAAATTTGGAGAATTTAATTTCCCACATTTGTTATATAGAAAGTTTTTGAAGGAGAATTTCATTCTCCACGACTTTATACGATTTTTTTTTGTACGACGCTTAAATCACGACCGGGAACGTGCTAAACATAGCGATGTAAGCTAGCGGCTTAAAATTAATTTCAACATCACGTTGTTATTGTTGTAACAGCATGCAGATTCCCCAGAGTTTTTGGGGAGTGTTGCTGGAGTGACAGTCCTTGGCCAGATATAAATCTGTGTCGTTCCAGTTACGTATACCCGACTGTCGTGGGAACGATCTTCTTGAATATCTAAGAATATTCAACATCACTTCAACCGGTATAGTACGATAGCCAAAATTTCATAGGGGGATCACAAAGATTAAGATTTTAAAATTATCCCATAGACGTCCCCCATTAAAAACAGTGTCGCCTTTTGAAAAATTCAACATGACGTCTAAACCAACCGTAAATTTGATTTTGCTTTACAACATTTGCGCCACCGCTGAACCCAAACATAACAAGTAGAAAAGTCGTCAGTTTTTTTCACCTTTCCGAAAACTACCGCTAAATGGTAAACAGGGGTGGTTGTGCCCCTATTTAAACATCTTAGATAAACTTATATAGTTATAATGTTACTTCTTTTCAATGGATTGATGTTGGTATCAATTTTATGTAATTTAGCGCCATCAAATTTCGAAATATCGAAGTTTCAAGCATGTCGGAAATTTACCGTTATATGAAGAATAGTCCGATTTCAATAAGTCTCATCGTTTTGCTTTTATGTGGCAATCACAATTATCATACCGCGTTTGGTACAAATTGATCGAACGGTTGCCGAGGTACACATATGTGGTCATAAGTAGGCGGTGACGCCCACGTCTGCCGCAGCATCTTTTACTATGCTTTTGATTATTTTGGTTAATTTAATAAACAGTTTAATATTTTTTATATTTGATGTTCCTTTAACTGAAGTCAGTCAATTTCAGAAGCAAATAAAAAACAATTAAACTGTTTATTAAATAAACCAAAATAATCAAAAGCAAAGTAAAAGATGCTGCGGCAGACGTGTATTCTTCTAAGATCACTTCCCAGAGTCGACCGACGATTTTCCACCACACAAATAACCAAGAGCCGCGTTTTGTTATCGGCGCCGCTGGTAATGTAGGTCAACCGCTATCGCTGCTGCTGAAACGAGATAGTCGTGTCACCGGTCTCGCGCTCTACGATATCAAATTAGCGGCTGGCGTGGCTATGGATATCTTTCATGTAGACACCAATTCCCTAGTGGCGGGCTATGATAAAATTTAAATAAACAAGTAAATTTCTTAACAAGTAATGTCCTACACGCCTAAGAGATTTTGGCCGAGTTTAACAAAGCACGCCAGTCGTTTCTCTTCTGTGCCAACTGACGCCCATTAGAAATGCCAAGTGAAGCCAAGTCCGTCTCCATCTGGTATTTCCATCGCAGTGGTTACCTCCCTCTTCCTCTGCTACCACCAGCTGGTTCCGTGTTGAATACTGTCAGAGCTGGAGCGTCGGTGTCCATTCGAACGACATGGAAAAGCCAGCGGAGCCTCTGTATTTTCATTCGCTGCACTATGCCCATGTCGTTGTAAAGCTCATACAGCTCATCATTCCATCGTCTGCGGTACTCGCCATCGCCATCGAGTAAAGCCCCGTAAATCTTTCACAAAATCTTTCTCTTGAATTCTCGCAACAGCCGCCTCATCGGATGTTATCATTGTTCATGCTTCTGCGCCATATACCAGCATGGACATGATGAGTGACTTATAGAGTGTGGTTTGAAATTCTCCACTTTCTCGAAATTACAGTGACGTGGGGCCAAGGCGCGAATGTGCTGACTGTTTGTTTGATGGCAGGATATCCTTCGTCTTGTCCTGGTTTACCACCAGACCAAGAATCGCCCTGTCTGAAACCCCGTTTGGTGGCGAACGGCTCGGAGAGGTCTTTCCAAATTCTGATGGAGCTGGTGGTATTGCTCATCGTTATTTTACACAGCCGTATCAGTCTTTTCCAAGATTTGGCATATTGTGAATACCTGGTCTATGGTGGATTTACCAGGTCTAAAGCCACACTGAAAAGGCCCAATCAGTTCACGGAAGGTGGGCTTCAGTCTTTCACACGCTTTCATACGCACGATAAGACCTTGTAACCTGTGATTAGAAGGCTGATCCTACGGTAGTTGGTGTGAATGGTTAAATTCCAGTCGTCGGGAATGCGTTCATCTGACCATATTCTGCATAAGAGTTGATGTATGCAATTTATCAACTCCTCGCCGCCGTACTTGAATAGCTCATTTGACAGGCTGTCAGCTCCAGCTTTGTTGTTTTCATATTTCATATTCATCTTTATTCAGTCTATGATTTACAATCTTACAGACTAGAAGTAGGCTAAAAAGTATTAACGGTGACTAGTATATGTACAATTACGAAAATAGGTTTCAAGAGATGATTTAAAAAGACTTATTGGAAACGAAAAGTCGATATCTAAGCTCTTTGAGATATTGTTAAATTCCACAAGGCCTCGAAAAATAGGCGCAAAAGATGAGTAGTTAGTCTTAGCGGCAGGAACGTAAAAGGGGATGCGAGAGCGAAGAGTTCTGAGAGGCACATTAAAGGTAACCTGCTCGAGAAGAGATGGAGCCAGAGATAAGATCGAAGACGAATAAGAGTAATTGGGTACGCCTTCTATTTTCCAATGATAGCAAATTTATTAGTTTACACCGGGAGTAATATGAAGGAATCGGATCTGAGAAGTAAAGAGAAGCGAGGGGAGGGAGAGGCGTGACAATTATAAATAGGGCTCCATATAATAGAGGCATACTCAAGTTTAGATCGCGCTAAGGAATTAAATAATGTTTTCCGAGTGTAAGGGTCTCTAAAATCCTTGGCATATCTACGAATAAATGCTAAATTACTATAAACTTTTGGAAGTAAATGACAAACATGATTCATAAATGAAAAATTCGAGTCAAACACAACACCAAGATCAACAAATTCACTAACAGAGGTAAACAGGAGCTAATATCGTTTATAAACAGGACAAACAATAGTGGGCCAAGAATGCTACCCTGGGGTACACCTGATGTTACAACAAAGGGATTCGATTTACAATCATCGATATATACAGACAGAGTCCTATTTGTAAGGCCAGACTTTAACCAAGCTAGGAAATTAGAGTGAACACCAATGCACTCCAACTTGTGTAGCAATAATAGGTGTGGT